CCCCAAAACCCCAAAACCCCAAAACCCCAAAACCCCTTAGTTCTAGAACATATTGAAAATGCATTCACTACTTAAAATCTAGCATCTCATTTGTAAGAGGATTGTAGCTTCTTCTACTATGATTTATTTGCTTTGTGGTAGCCTGGCCCAGAGTTGCATAATGATCAAATTTCCCATAATCATTATTGTTCCTGTTATGGATATTACTCTCAATTTCTAAATGTTTTGTTGCTAGTTCAGTGACAGGTGGGAGACCTTTGCTTCTTCTAGCATGGAGATTCTCATAGAACCCTCTTCCTTCTTCGTAACCAAGACCGATTTTAGGTTTATACGCTTGATCTGTAGAAAAGTTATATTTGAGAAAGTTTTGAATTTTTCATACCTGAGTACATCTCAGCAATGCTGTGAGAGTCATAATTTGGATAAGAAGGAGCACTTCCTCGAGACCCACAAATAGAACCCTCTTTTGCTGGATCAGGGAGATATTTTTCAGAGACTTTCTCTCCCCTAACAGGTTCTGGTGCAGTTAAATTCTGGTGTAAGTTTTGAGGTGGTGGAGGTTTTTGTCCAATTGGAGTTTGCAAATAAAACTTTGCTGCATCCTGCTTAAGGGATTCATCCATTTTAACCTTGAGGTCATCTTCAAGCCTTGCGAATGTATCATCTAGACTTGGCTTTGATCTTTGCTTCATTCTTTTTGAGCGGGGTTTTGATTTATAAAATGCTTGAGATTTTATTATTTGTGCATCTGTTGTTTTAGGCATCAAACTCTCAGAATTCTCATGAGGTTTAGCACTAAAATCATATTTGTAGCTTGAAGGGTTAGGAATTTTTGCTGCTCTAAAAGACAGAATATACAAATTATCTTACTTCAAACTCCTCTTCCATTGGTTATCAATTTCTGCTTTAGTAGGTCCAAAATTTGGCATTGATCCGTTTTTCGTTAACTTTCGATAAGATCTAGCTCCTGTATACCCAGGAATTTTTGCAGGAGCAGCTCCTTCAATGTCTAAACAGTCTATAGACTTCCTCATCGTGGTTGCTCCAGTCATATTCTGACCTCGGTGGGCTTGAAAATCAAGAGAGTCATACTGTCGCTGACTCGGTTGCTGATAATAAGACATTTTTAATAATTCAATAAGCAAAAATATTTAAGGGGTTTTGGGGTTTTGGGGTTTTGGGGGTTTTGGGGATTTTTGTGGATGTGT